GCAATGGTTTTGCGGCTCCCAGTTTATTTTTTCCTTTGGAAACGGGTCCAAGTGGCTCTTTATGTCTTAAAGGTTGCAGACCCCTGGTCTAAGTGAACGTGACTATTTTCAGCTTGCCACGTCATTCCCTTCCCGAGTTGCCAAAATCGACCTTACGTCGAAGTGGGTTAAGGTTAAATTTCCTTCAGTGAAAAACATCCGATTTAGATAAATTGATTTCTTTCAGCTTTTTTCTTTCTTACAAGAATCAAATTTTCAGGGTTTTTCAGTGACATGGTTCACAGGTGGTGACATGTCCAGACCCATGCCTGGCTACCTTCATCTGCTCAGTATGAATGTTTCCTCACTCCACCAAGTAATTCATTGAGGATCAACCAACACAGCCGAGGCTGCATGTCTCTCTCTCTGTGGTGAGATGTTAACTACTTGTCCTGGCATACAGGAAGTCGTGGGTTCGATCCCAACCCTGACGCCTGCTGTATATTTGGAGCTTTTACGTGTCTCTCACTCTCCCCGTGGTCGCGTGGATTTCCCTCCGGATCTCCCGGTTGTCACCACTACACATGCAGAGAGTGAACACCGCCACGCGTCTAGAGCGAACACCGCCACGCGTCTAGAGCGAACACCGCCACGTGTCTAGAGTGAACACCGCCACGCGTCCAGAGTGAACACCACCACGCGTCTAGAGTGAACACCGCCACGCGTCCAGAGTGAACACCGCCACGCGTCTAGAATGAACACCGCCACGCGTCTAAAGTGAACACCGCCACGTGTATAGAGTGAACACCGCCACGTGTATAGAGTGAAAACCACCACGCGTCTAGAATGAACACTGCCACGCGTCTAGAGTGAACACCGCCACGTGTATAGAGTGAACACCACCACGCGTCTAGAATGAACACCGCCACGCATCTAGAGTGAACACCGCCACGTGTATAGAGTGAACACCACCACGCGTATAGAGTGAACACCACCACGCGTCTAGAATGAACACCGCCAAGCGCCTAAAGTGAACACCGCCACGCGTCTAGAGTGAACACCGCCACGTGTATAGAGTGAACACCGCCACGTGTATAGAGTGAACACCGCCACGCGTCTAAAGTGAACACCGCCACGCGTCTAGAGTGAACACCGCCACGTGTATAGAGTGAACACCACCACGCATCTACAGTGAACACCGCCACGTGTATAGAGTGAACACCGCCGCGCGTCTAGAGTGAACACCGCCACGCGTCTAGAGTGAACACCGCCACGTGTATAGAGTGAACACCGCCACGTGTATAGAGTGAACACCGCCACGCGTCTAGAGTGACCACCGCCACGTGTATAGAGTGAACACCGCCACGCGTCTAGAATGAACACCGCCACGCGTCTAAAGTGAACACCGCCACGCATCTAGAGTGAACACCGCCACGTGTATAGAGTGAACACCGCCACGCGTCTAGAATGAACACCGCCACGCGTCTAAAGTGAACACCGCCACGCGTCCAGAGTGAACACCGCCACGCGTCCAGAGTGAACACCGCCACGCGTCCAGAGTGAACACCGCCACTCGTCCAGAGTGAACACCGCCACGCGTCCAGAGTGAACACCGCCACGCGTCCAGAGTGAACACCGCCACGCGTCCAGAGTGAACACCGCCACGCGTCCAGAGTGAACACCGCCACGCGTCTAGATTGAACACCGCCACGCGTCCAGAGTGAACACCACCACGCGTCTAGAATGAACACCGCCACGCGTCTAAAGTGAACACCGCCACGTGTATAGAGTGAACACCACCACGTGTATAGAGTGAACACCGCCACGCGTCTAGAGTGAACACCGCCACGCGTCTAGAGTGAACACCACCACGCGTCTAGAATGAACACCGCCACGCATCTAGAGTGAACACCGCCACGTGTATAGAGTGAACACCACCATGCGTATAGAGTGAACACCACCACGCGTCTAGAATGAACACCGCCACGCGCCTAAAGTGAACACCGCCACGCGTCTAGAGTGAACACCGCCACGTGTATAGAGTGAACACCGCCACGCGTCTAGAGTGAACACCGCCACGTGTATAGAGTGAACACCACCACGCATCTACAGTGAACACCGCCACGTGTATAGAGTGAACACCGCCGCGCGTCTAGAGTGAACACCGCCACGCGTCTAGAGTGAACACCGCCACGTGTATAGAGTGAACACCGCCACGCGTCTAGAGTGAACACCGCCACGTGTATAGAGTGAACACTGCCACGCGTCTAGAGTGAACACCGCCACGTGTATAGAGTGAACACCGCCACGCGTCTAGAGTGAACACCGCCACGTGTATAGAGTGAACACCGCCACGCGTCTAGAGTGAACACCACCACGCATCTAGAGTGACCACCGCCACGTGTATAGAGTGAACACCGCCACGTGTATAGAGTGAACACCGCCACGCGTCTAAAGTGAACACCGCCACGCATCTAGAGTGAACACCGCCACGTGTAAAGAGTGAACACCGCCACGCGTCTAGAATGAACACCGCCACGCGTCTAAAGTGAACACCGCCACGCGTCTAGAGTGAACACCACCACGTGTCTAGAGTGAACACCACCACGCGTCTAGAGTGAACACCGCCACGCGTCTAGAGTGAACACCACCACGCGTCTAGAGTGAACACCACCACGCGTCTAGAGTGAACACCACCACGCAATTAGAGTGAACACCGCCACGCGTCTAGAGTGAACACCGCCACGCGTCCAGAGTGAACACCGCCACGCGTCTAGAGTGAACACCGCCACGCGTCTAGAGTGAACACCGCCACGCGTCTAGAGTGAACACCACCACGCAATTAGAGTGAACACCGCCACGCGTCTAGAGTGAACACCACCACGCTGTTGACGAGCCTCACCTTGTTGTTGTTGTGGGCAGGTCACTTCTGAAAACAAGAGCGGTATAGCAGCTCAAGCGGGCTTGGCCTGGTAAAAATAAAAACTGTGTTAATATTTAAAGTAAAACAAAGTTACAAAGTGGCGAGCCGGGTCAAGACAAATTCAACTTAAGCGAGATAATTGAAGCAAACGCGATCAGGCGAGGGCAGGAGGCAAGGCCCCAAGTTGATAAGTTCCAACCTGGACATCGCTTCCATGCTCGCTGCTACTCAATTAACATCCCAACGAGAGAGAGAGAGAGTGAGGCTCTACGTCAATAAACAACAACCACCACAACAACCACCACAACCACCACAACAACAACCACCACCACAACAGCGATGAGAATTTCTCACCTCGGATTTCAGTTCACGGGCGGAGCGGCAACTTCCTGGTCCCTCGCGACGTCACGCGGCAGCAGGTGACATGACGTCACTTGCGGGGTACGATGACACTCCCCTCCCACAATGAGCGGCTCTCAACTCGCGACGGCTTTCACGATACATTATGTTAATGAGTCGCCAGTTACCGGCCGAGCGGAGATGACGTCACGCTCAAGAGTGCGGTGGTGGGGGGTGGGTGACATGACGTCACTAGCAGGGCACACCTCCCCCTGGCGTTTGACGCCGATGAGGTCACGCTGAGCGGTGACGTCAGAGGGCGGGGTCGGAGTTCAAGTTTGTTGACAGAAGGGGAGCGGCAGTGTCGTGGTGAGCGCTGCGCTCCGCACCGACCAGCCGAGTTCCATTCCCGCTCGTGGCCAACACTGCCAGTGACGACTTTCTGAACCGGTCCTGAGCCTCCCCTACGTCGACTCAGCCTCAAACGAGTGCGGTGTGTCAACATCGCCACTGGGGAGACAAAGGCGGCCGGGCGTGGTGCTGGCCACCCACCCCCTCGTGTGCCGTCCCACCCTTAATAGGTGCTCGCTAACAGCACTTGCCCCTAGAGTCTGTTGCCTCCCTATCGCCGGAACCAGTCCATGTTTGCAGATGTGGCTCATGTCAGGCAGAGATTGCAACCAGGTGGTCCGTTGTCAACAGGTGCAATCACAAGAGCGGCGTCGGCCCAGCTGCAGACTCACGACTTGATGGATCTTGGGAGGGAAGATGAGCTGCTGGATGTTGGTGGCAGCAATGGAAGCCAGGACAGCAACATTGCCGCAGGTAGCACAAGTTATACTGGTTGGAACCTCCTGGTTACACCAGCCCACAGGGGATTATTGTGTCCGTCCGTCCGTCCGTCGTGCAGGAAGGGGCTGGGTGGGGAGAGAGGGGCTGGGTGGGGAAGGTGGGGAGGGGCTGGGTGGGGAGGGGCTGGGTGGAGAGGGTGGGGCTGGATGGGGAGGGGCTGGGTGGGAAGGGAGGGACTGGGTGGGGAGGGGAGGGTGGGGAGGGGCTGGGTGGAGAGGGTGGGGCTGGATGGGAGGGGTGGGGCTGGGAGGGGCTGGGTTGGGAGGGGAGGGTGGGGAGGGGCTGGTGGGGGGTGGGAGGGGTGGGGCTGGGTGGGGAGTGGCTGGTCACCCCGTGGTGCCCTTATAAAACTCAATGTTTAACCTACTCACGCCGGCTTGTGCCCTCCCTCACAGTCGGGCATATTTGCGGAATACACCACGCCGCCGTTGACCCTGGCCATTGACCGAGCAACCCAACGTTCCTACCAGCTCCCTCCGCAGGAATGTGTTTCTGTTCATTTCCCATCACAACAACGGCAACAATGAAATAACCTAAGAGTTAAATATTACCGCTTGATGGAATAAATTATCCTTCACTTGCACTAAGTGGAGTGGAATTTACTGTTGCGTTGCACAATTTATTGAACAAATTGTGATAGCCTTGTGACCTTTACAACTGACACACTGCCCCAAACAAGATGTAAATTTTGATCTTGTTCAAGGATTATTAAAGGCCCGAACATTACAACTCTGTGTGCGTTTTTTTTGTGCGTTGATATGCAAATTCCTTTGTCAAGGGGCCCTCCTCCTCTAACCCAGCTTAAATATACGCTGCCAAGCTTGGTGGTGTTCATTCAGACGCTGTATTTCCGACAGCCCTGCTCTTCACCTGAGGACGGCTGCTTGCGTTGTGGCCGAAACGTCGTTAGAATTGTATTTTATTATATAAAATTTTTATTATTTTATTATTTTCCTTCTACGTGACTTTACCGAAAGAACCAAGAAGATGAATCCTTGCAGTTATGAAAGCTTTAAATCGAAATCTTTAGAAATAGTTTGAAACAATCCAGAACGGTTTGCTTTCATGGAAACATTCCAACTGTGATTGTATTTGTTTGGGATGTCCCCGCGGCAGTCGAGGTTTTTGGCAATGATCTGCAGGGATGGTGCCTTTCCGTTCCTAGCCGCGAGGGCATATCCTTGTTACTGCGCCGTCCGTTAGCGTTGGTTCACATTCAGAGCAGTGAAGAAGCCCGCTTATCTTGCTTAAGTTGTTGAGTTGCGTCGGCAATAAACCCAAAGGGCAACCTTACCCGGTAAATACAGTAAACCATATAGTAAACCACTGTAGTCTTCGTTCCTGCAATGAAGGAATAACAAAGCTACACCAACTCTCCCCCGAAGCCCTCTTCTGGCTAGCAGACCTCGACATTTTCATTTATCTCCTGAACATATTACCAGATTTGGAGTAAATTGTAATATGGTGCCACCTAGTAGCGATACAGCTCAGACGAGTCTTTTACTGGTAGGAACGAAGTGGACCAGACCACCAATAGATTAATGTGTCCGTCCGTCCGTCCGCGTCCGTCCGTCCGTCCGTGTATCAACATCGCCCCCTACTGCAAACACTTGGCATGACCCTGTCCGACAAGATGGCCGCCCGCTCCCCCTGCGATCTGTGAATTAAACAAGATGGCCGTCGCTTCCGGCGCATCACGGCAAAACTTTAAACTTCGCTTCAAAATTACTTTACTGAAACGCAGCACGTTTATTTAAAAAAATACTTTACTGAAACGCAGCACGTTTTTTTAACACAGAGACAAGAAACATTTATTAACACAGAGACGAGATACATTTAATCGCCTTATTTGTGCACGAAAAGCACGGCGCGAGGCCTAGTGTGGCAGGCTTCGCGAGGCCTAGTGCGGGAGGCTTATTAACACAGAGATGAAACGCAGCACGTTTATTGTTGTTGTTGTGCATATTGGCAGTGGTGCCTGACTCGGCTGAATCTGCAGCCCGGCAGCGGCAGAGCAGAGGCAGCGAGAGGCCTCGTCGCTGCTGCTATTCACTCGCTTATAGTTCTACCGTGTTCACTACATCTCTGTCGTGTTCACTATCATCTCTACATCTCTGTCGTGTTCACTACATCTCTGTCGTGTTCACTATCATCTCTACATATCTGTCGTGTTCACTATATCTCTGTCATGTTCACTATCATCTCTAGATCTCTGTCGTGTTCACTATATCTCTGTCGTGTTCACTATCATCTCTACATCTCTGTCGTGTTTACTACATCTCTGCCGTGTTCACCACATCTCTGCCGTGTTCACCACATCTCTGCCGTGTTCACTACATCTCTGTCGTGTTCACTACATCGTATTCACACGCAAGTATTTCTACTTGTGCTGCAATCTTTGATTATTTAGCTGCTGGCTGCATGTTTGGTGGCGATGCTACCGTTATAGCAGCACCAACTGCGGTTGGTTCTGGGTCCATGGAAACGACGCTTTTTACTGCGAGTTTGTAAAGGGTTCCAGCAGCAAATGCGGTCTCTGTTTCAGCAAGCATCTTTTCAACGTGGGCGTCCAGACAACCATTGGGGTCTTCAAAGTCGTGGTTGTTTTCGGTATCCATGTCGTGCGCGCGAATAAAAACTCGAAGTGCCAAACAAACACTGCTCAATGTAGTACTGTTATATGAATATGCCAAACGCCCGTTTATTCAACTCTATGTAGACGACATAAAATGCACCAAGGTGCCGTTTATTCCCTCTATTTTATTTCACCTTTATACTAGTAAATGCATTCGAGTTTCCCCATCTAAGGTCAATTAATCTCAGATGTGATCGTTTGGAAATGAAAGACTACGAGTCTTTAAATCTCACAGCGTTTCTTGTCAAAACAAACACTTTTAATTAACGTTACACTAGAATACAGTATTTTTTTTAACTCCTCTATACCCGGTCGATATCCCTGTACCGGTACTAAGTATTATTCCTACCAGCCCACCCCGCAGGGTCCTGTTAAGTAAACGGACGGCAAAGCTTAGTTATAGATTCATGTTCATCATCATTACACTGGTCAACAAAAAAAAAATTCTGTCCTGGACTTTTGCAGCTATTTTAGACTAATTTCTGATCTCAGATTTGCTCTATCACATCTAATTTTATGCTATCGGCATAACCCATTTTCATTGATTTTACCCGAAATTAACTGTCACTTATGATTGCAAGTTGTTGCGAGTCAGTGACTGCTTTAGTGTTAAAATATGGTGCTGTATTTTTAGGATAGTATGTTTATAATATCATTGTATGGAGATATCCACATTTATTTAATATTTTTCTTCTGCAGTTTTTATTGAAAACACAATATTTCATATCTCAAAAACCTGATGTGGTAGACAAAAGCTGATGCCAGATTTGGAATCAGCACCCAAAATTACCTTAAAACCGTTGGAATACCTTATGCCAGAAAAAGTGTGTTGACCAGTGTTATCAACCATAATTAAATCCAATGCTGGATGGAGGCCTCTCCAAGATGTCATCATCAAATTTTCTTGCAATGCAACATTTCACGGAGCACCTGCATACAAGCCGATTTCAGAGCTGTCCATCTTTGATCTTTAAAGGTGCATTTGAAATTGTTTTTATACTCCTACTGATGCTCCTGCTGTTGTGGAGTGACTCATGCAGCCAGCTATGGCTACAGGGTTTGTGGAACATGTTTTTTGTCGTTTATTGTGAAATTTCGGTCACAGTTCCTATGATCACTGTTACATTGCTTATGGCTTTATTTTGGTGATTTCGAAAAGTTTTTTGGTTTAGCCATGTTTGTTTGTTGTAGTACGGAGTTAGAATGATGGCTTTAATCTAAGTTGTCTTGTGGTTGTTGTTGTTGTTTGACTGGCATCCCACTGGGATTTTTGCACAGCGTTGGTGTACGGTTCTTTTTTCTGGAAGACTTTGCAGTTTTTCCATGGATTTTTCTGTTTGCGCATAGTCACTTTGACATGTTTTCTAGTTCATGTTTTTGTTTTTTATTTGTTGCGGTTGCACCCGATTCAAGAGCCGAATGGCTCACAGGGCTATACCAAATACATGAAAATGAAATGAAACTGTTAAGGCTATATGGGGGATCTTTCTGTTTGTGTTAGGTGCTCGCTAACAGCACTTGCCCCTAGTCTGCCCAGGCTATATGGGGGGTCTTTGTCTTAGGTGCTCACTAACAGCACTTGCCCCAACATTCTGTACAGGCTATACGGGGGATCTTTGTGTTTGTGTTAGGTGCTCGCTAACAGCACTTTCCCTGACATTCTGTCCAGTCTACACGGGGGATGTTTGTCTTTGTGTGTTGGGAGCAAGTTTGAGTGGCGTGTAGCCGTGGGAGTTGAACGGGAGCCTGCTGCTACTGACAGTCGTTGACTCCGGTTGGACAGACGCTGATAGACAGACACACACAGACAAGACAGGTGGACAGACACAGACAAGAGGAACACAGAGACACAGAGACGACATAGACACATGCAGAGAGAAACACACAGAGGCGAACAGAGACACAGACGGGCAGAGAGATGTTGAATCGAACTAACTGAACTCGCTCCATTGAAAGAGTTTACTTGATAATTGCCCATCCCCAGAAGTCGTTCTAGTTTCTATTTATTTCATTGTGTGTGGTGTGAACGTGTAAGCAATGTGGGATATCGATGTACACGGATATGAACAAGATCAGCAGACAAGACGTCTTTCATCCTCTTTGGTTCTTTCAGTAAAGTCACGTAGGTAGAACAAATAAAATAATAATAAATAAATCACGTTTCGATCGCAACACGAGCGATCGTCCTCAGGCGAAAACATCCAGACATTGTCGCGGCAGAAGTCACGTGAGCTACGGCACGTGACAAAGATGAGGTGACCCCCCCCCCCCCACCGTGGCTCGCCCCGCTCAGCTGAGAATTGTTTCAATGCGGTGGGCTCACGCTAAATTGATTTCTGTAAGACGAAGTTAGTTTGAAACCCCACTGGCGATACTCTTTTATAGAAGCGCACAACTTCATCTGTGA